GGAAGATGAGTTATTAAGAAAAATGATTATAGTATTTTAGGAAAAACATATCATATTTCTTATAATCAACTAACTTACCTAACTTGCTTAATCTAATCAAATTAGTTAAATAGGTCTTTATACTACCTCCGTTCCTTAATATAAAATCTCGTTTGCTTTTATTTTGGTCTTAAATATAAGACCTCAATCTATCTTGTCTCTAATATTATACATTTTTCTTAAGTAATACTTAATAATAATTCTAATCAACACCCTTGATTAGCAAGGATATTTTTGAAAAAAACAATACATATTTATTACAAATAACTAATTTAACTTACTTTTTTAATCTTTTCAAATTAGCCAACTAGTCGTTATAATTAGGATTGGAGGTTAGTATTAAGCACATGATTTTCTCCGGGGGCAAACGTTAAATGTCTATTACGTTGCCAACGTGTCACCAATCAAATTTCATAATCACGAAAAGTCAGCCAAGATTTAGTTGGGTAATGTGAGGGAGGCACACAAGTGAAATTTCCCGAAATGACATTTATCTTGAGCCTTAGGCTTTGTTTGGTTTAACGGAACGGAGGGGAGGGGAGGTTAATTAAAGGAAAGGAAGAGGAGGGGAAGGAAGGTCATGGTTTTGTTTGGTTGGAGGGGAGGGAGGAGAGAGAAGATTCTTGTTTGGTTCAAGAAGAGGGGGGAGGAAAGGTAATTATAAATTGACAAATATGCCCATATCTCTATATTTAGACTGATTTATTTTTTTATTACAATATTTATATCAAAATTATTATTTTTTAATTTATCAATTTAAAAAATACCAATTACCTCACTTACATGTGATAAAAAAATAATAAAAAAAAAAAATTAAAAAATATGATAAAAAATTTAATATTCTATCTCATTAATTTTATAAATATATGTATTAATATATAGATAGTATATATTATATAATTATAACACGTACGTTATGATATGGATATATTAATATATGCATGCTATTTGAGATTATAATACACACGCTATGATATAATTATAATACACACATGTTATGATATGTAAAAATTAATATATATGATATGTATATATTATAATATTATAATTATCAAATATTATAGTGGCTAAAAAGAGAAAGAAGTGAAAAAAAGATTTTTAATAAGATAGACAACCTTAGAATATTGAAAAGTTAGTATGAGTAATTTGGTTAATGTTAGACATAATATTTCTTTCCCTTCCAAAAAAACCCTAATTTGGAGGAGAGTATGGGGAGGGGAGGGGAGCACTAAAGAACAATTTCTTCCCTCCCCTCCCATAATTTTTCCCAACCAAACACACTTATCACTTTCCCTCCCCTCACCTCACAAACCCTCTAACCAAACATAGTCTTAAGAAATGGACCCGTAAGAGGGGGCCAGTATGCGTTTGAATCTAAAATCTGGGATACGATAGAAGAATGTGGAAAATGAGGGTGTGATTCTGTCATGGATTCGCTCGCCATTTTGTTAGCACATGATTATTATCATTGGGCATGAGGATGAATGATATATCTTTTATAGCATCTGAAATTTAGATGATAATTAAATTACTTAATCTCAAAATCTTCATAAAAATTTGGATTTCAAAGTAAGAATATGAATATTTTGTGGTGGTATTAATATTTTTATTTATTTAAAATCAATTATTAAAACTTTCACAAAGTTGATTTTCAGACGGTCTAATTTAAGATACGCAATTGATGATATTTGGAAACAATTTTGGATTATAATATTTTTCTTTTCTCCAAATAGAGCTTTACTGTTAATTTCTATTTTGCAAATTCTTATCTAATTTCTGGAGAAGTAAGGTTATAAAATTTTGATAAAGAAAAATTGTAAGATACCACCTCTACTATTTAATATAAAGCATCGTTTGACTTATCTAATTTCTCCAAATAGAGCTTTACTGTTAATTTATATTTTAAATATAAGATCCCAATTCACTTTTATCTCTCATATTTATGTATTTCTTTTTCAAGAAAATCTTCTAATAATGGTAATTCTAACCAATATACTTGATAAGTAAGGATATTTAGAAAAGATAATACTTATTTGTTACAAATAAATAATTTAATTTTATTTTCTTAATTTACTTAAATTAGTCAACTAGCTCTTATATTTAGAACTAACCTCTTATTTGGATAGAGAGAAAAATGATGGAGGAAAGAAAATAGAGGGGAAAATGAAGAGATAAATGAGTTTTTCCTGAACGAGGAGAGAAAAGCGGGAGGAAAGAAAAATAGGAGAGAAAATAGGCTATGGGGCTCATGTAATTTTCTCTCCAACTTTTCTCTCCACATATGGAGAGAAAATAAAAAGAAAACTTATATTTCTCATATATCCTCCTTTATACTAGGTACATAAATGCATGTTTTGCCTTTAATGTAATTTTTAATTTTAGTATTTATGACTATTTTAATATTTAGCAAAATCATCTTACTATAGCCAAATTTTATAATAAATTTTTATTATTTAATAATAATTTTAAATAAGATATTTTATTTATTTTCTTTTATTATATTTAATTTAAAAAAGCATCCACTTTTTTTATTTTTTTAATTAAAAATAACATTTTTTACTAAACTATTTGATTTTAAATATACTCTTCTGATCCTATTTATAAGAAACTTCCAGCATATTTCATACAGACAAGAAAAATCTCAAAATACAAGTGAAATTTGAATATTTACAACAAAAGTTTATAGATTTGCAAGTGAAATTCGATAATTTACAAGTGAAATTCGATAATTTTATTTGTTCATTTGCACTTAAACGCTTGCATTTGGGATTATAATTCCATTATGTTATTTGTAAATTGTCTAATTTTTGTTGCAAATTGCTGAATTTTACTTGTAAATCATCGAATTTCATTTCTTACTTGCACTCAAACACTTACATGTTAGGTTGTGAATTCTTTTGTGTTTGCCAAATTTGGGTTGTAAATCCATAAACTTGTATTGTAAATCTTCAAATTTCACTTGCTCATTTGTACTTAAGTACTTGTATTTGGGGTTATGAATTTCATTATGTTATTTGTAAATTATCTAATTTTATTGTAAATTGCTGAATTCTACTTATAAATCGTCGAATTTCATTTGTTTACTTATATTTGGATAGTTGTGTTTATTTTGTTATATATATATTTTTATTTGCATCACATAATTGAATGGTTTTCTTGGCTTGGTGGTTGCAACATTTTTGGTGTGCCAAGGGATTATGGGTTCAAATCCTTCCTTGACTACCTTGTTTTAAACCAAAAAATAAAAAATCCGGCCACCGGAATTACAGTAACGGCCACAGGAGTTCCAACCTCCGGCAGCGGCCACCTGAGTGCCAGTGATTAGACCTCCAACCTCTAGTGGCCAGAACAGTGACGTCCATTAATATTTATTTTTTAATAAAATAAAAAGGAGAGATATTATTGTAATTTGACTCTAAATTTTAATTTCAATTTGGTCCTTTAGTCCTATTTTTAGAATGTTTTGGGGGTTGACTGACATAAATTCTCTTCTACAGTTCTTAACTGAAATTTTTCCAAATTTCTAACTATAAAAAATTGAGCTGTGCTTTTTCCCTCTTGTTTAATGACAGTATTGTCTATTATATTCATTCATTAGAAATCACGAGTTCTTAAAGCTTTTTATTATAAATTTTGTTAAATTTAGATCCTTTAAATGTTAAGGCAGTGGGTCCAAAGATCTACTAAGAGATTGAGAAATACTGTTTGTGACTCATACATAATATGACTTCTTCCAAGATTTTAGATTATACATGGAATATGGATATGGATTTTCCCAAAAAAACAAAAAAAAACCCACTGGTGATATAGTATGGATGGTACGTACAGAAGTGGCCCCTAATATACGGAGCATCAATTAAAACTATTCACGCATAATACACCATATCTCTCTTAACTTGAATTTATAGAAGGATTACAAAAGCATACATATTTCATAATAATTAAGGACTTGAATATAAATTCCAAAGGCAACTAACTAGCCACTTTTATTCCATACATTACACGCTTTTGACATCCTGGTAACTCCACCTTCAAGCCAAGTTAGCCACGCAGAGTCTTCATTAACCTGAAAAGGGAAAAATCAAAGCACATCTTTAATCAACCCCACTAAACAAGATGCATTGAAGGCACATCAAACCCCAAATTCAGATGTAAAAGAGAGGTCCATTACAACCAGAAATTCTTTGTGCAATGAGTAAAATTAAGATGGTAAAACCAAAATTATTATACTTATTTGATCCTTGATGTAAGACCTAATTAATTAATTTTAATAAATTAAGGATATTAGTTAAATCAGTACCCTAAGTATCTTCCTTAATTACCCCCTCCCTCTCCTCCTTAATTATTGTTAAGGAAATATTAACAGGGTTAATTCAGAAAAAAAAATTAATAAATATGTGAAATAGGTTTCACATATAGGACCAATATCAACTTTCCAATTAAATCCTATCTTAAGGGCCAGAGCAGTGCTTGACATAGGAAAATCAAACAAAGGAAAGCAATGAAATGCAAAAATCATGACATAAGGACATTAGAGCTAATATTGCTTAAAGCAAAATCATACAGGTCATGTTATTGAACAGCAGAAAAACATTCAAAGGTATGGGTGATTAAGAGCATGTAATGAGGCTTTCAATTGAAGGAGGTGTAAAACATATTGTCCAATTTATCTTCATCAAAAGGATTAATCTTTAGGCGTAGACACTAATTTATCCCGTAAGCTGTTCCTTTTTCGCAATCTTAAGGCCATGCCAAGATCGAGTTCTAGGCTTATGCCTACTTTAGCACAGCAAGAACAGCAAAATAGTTTGCCTATTTTAAATATGTTATGCAAGTTCCATAAAGATGCAACAGATAGGTGTATGTTAGCGATCTAATCCTACTCCCTTGTTCTTAATGGAGCAAAGGCATAATAAATGACAAGGTTATTCTTTCGATGTCTTTCATGAACATCCAAGTCTTCTGATGCACTTTATGCCACACCTACCGGATCAAATGATGACTGGTAGAAACAAAATTCGACAATTTTTATTCTCACTTCCACTTATTTATTTATTTTACTCATTATAGCTTACAAGTGCTTCGCATGCTAACCCTCCTTCAGGTACTGGTTGTATGCAGCTATAAAATTCAGGTGCTTAATTGTGACCAATGATGAAATGAGAGATCATTTATTTCAACTTTTGGGAAATGACATCTTCCCCAAGTGGAAAGAAAGACATCAAGTGAGTAAAGCTCTTAAGGGAAATATTTTTTTTTTTCTTAATCAATATGATGCTGATGTCATATTTTTGTGTGGAAAAAAAAAAAAGGTTTAGTATTGTTTTTTATTCTACTGTGTCTAAAGCTGGGCCTAGTTTTTTTTTTTTTGGTCTCTTTTCTCTTTTTAATCCAAGAACGGGTACAAATATGACCATTCTAACATGGATCTATCTCTTTTCCTAACTCAAGGTACATTTTAGTTTCTCTGATACTGGTCCAGAGTTTCACATGCCCCCTCCTTGTTCTGTTGTAATTCAGGTAAGTGACCCATATAGTATTGGAAATATCTTGTGCTTTTTCTAAAGAAACAGCATTGAAAACACAAAATAATTTGATTTTTCTGTAAGCCTTTGTTGGTTTGAGTTTTAAATATTAGAGATACAGAGTAAAAGGAAAAAATAAATAAATACAAGCAAGGAAAAAGAAAATAAACAATGGAAATATAACATTGCAATAGCTGTAGCAGGAATCAGAGGAAGGCCATTGGCAATATTCCGGTTAAGTCTGAGGACGATTTTAAATCAGAAAGAAGATGGCTGTGCATCACCCGTTGTAAATCAGATAAGGCTTCACAAAATTTTTCAACAATATCTGAAGGTAACTGCTGACACAGCAAACAATCACTCGAGACAGTATCTAGTTCATTTACACTGTTATTCTTCAAACTAGAGTCTTCACTCAATGACACTTATTATTGATTTCAGCCTTCTTTGATAATTTTTTTTTAAAGCAAAACTCTATAATTTTACTGTAAGCTGTTGAAATATTTGGTGGCCTAGACCAACAAATTGTCCATGTTATGTTTGGATTCAAGCTTGTCACCATGCATCTGACTTCACATCTGCTCATCAATCACTATGCTAACCTCTTGGGATGGATCATTGGAAGGTGTCCGCAAATGTTACAGAAACAATATCTTGAGTTGGCTTTTCCTTTTTTCGAATCGTCTCTCGTAACTTGTTTAGTAATTATATCTTATATATATATATATATATATATATATATATATTATCTAGGTTCATATTTCCTATATTTTACATTTTCTTTCTTTTCCTTTGACATGTTAATGAAAAATGGGAGAATTTGGGAAAATTTGTTCTAGGTGGAGGAAACTTTAATCTTCAGATATTTTAGTTGTGTGTGTTGTATATATGATCTTATTTTATGTATTTTCCGACTTTTCTTTAATTTTTTTAGGGCATCTTTTAAAGAGCCCCGGTGTAGTGTATGTTAAAAAGGATTTGAGATGTTAAAATTTCACACCAGTTGTCAGTTTTCTCCCCTCTTTTTGTCTCTGTTTCTGCCAATTTCTTCTTCACCCTACTTTTTCTTTGGCCTTTCTAGATCATCCAACTTCTTGAACCCACTTAATTTCTTTTTGTTATATTGAAAATAAAATCTAGTTTTCTTCTTGAGCCATTCATAATATGGTGACGGTGGCTGTATTATAAATGCTCATGTTTAGTGCAGAACTTCTTGTGTCTGCTGACTTCGTTTATGCTATCTCATCCTTCATTATCTTCCATTAAGTAGACACCTTATTCATTTATGTTTTGCATCTCTCTCTCTCTCTCTCTCTCTATATATATATATATATATATATTGATATGGATTCTCAACTTGTGAAGATGAAGAATGCGTGGGATCTTCTCCTGAAGCTGCATCTACTGCGGAGTTACAACATGAGAAGCACAAAGGAATAAAGGAGGAACATCAAAAATTGTACAAAAGTCTGAGGGATATATTTTCAGCATCAGGGTCACTGGAGTCAGATCATAGGACCTTGTTAACTGAAATTGAAGCTGCAGAGTTTCTTGGCGGCTGTACCATTGATTTTCAGATATGAATTTCATTATTTATATTCAGTTCCATGAATGATACCCTATTAATTTTGACTCCTAGGTATAATGTAAAGCTCCAATATAAGTTGTATGTATAGCTTAAGGATGAGTATAATAATGGTAGTTAAGAAGGGGATAAAATAGTTCTAGCACAATTTTTTGAAATAATCTCACAATGGTTTTGGATAACTGCTTTGTCAATTGGTCCTCAATTTACTGTGCTGATAAAGGTAAATTCTTGGAAATTACCTGGCGGGTTTGTAAGGTCAAACAAATTGGGTCTTGTATGTTGCATTATAGTTATACTACCTTCGGTTTTTAATATAAAACTAGTTCACTAATTTGAGTGGATTAAGAAAACTAATAAAATTAGTTATTTGTAATAAATAGGTATTGTCTTTATTAAAATATCTTTGTTAATCAAGTATATTAGTTAGAACTATCATTATTATAAAGACTATATTGAAAGAAATAGATAAATATGAGAGATAAAATGGATTGGGGTCTTATATTTAGAACTAAAATAAAAATCAAATTCTTATATTAAGGACCGGAGGTATTATCTCATATTTATGTTTGTATTTACATTATTCCTACTATTTAGGTCCATTATATTCAATTGTTTTTCAATTGGGGGACTTCAAATCCAAGGGGCGAATCGTTTTTTTTCCTTGCCAGGGGATGACTTGAGCCAAAAAAAAAAATTTTTAAATTACAAATTGGTAAATTGGTAAACTTTTCATAAAGATGTATAAAGACTGTATAGATGAGTATTAATATATTAATAAAATAATAACAATTAAGTCTTGTATAATTAGATAGGGTTAGCTGCCTCTTCATCAATGACAAAATCCTTAAACTTACTGTTAACTAACAAATCATCAACAGATCTCTTCGAAGTCTTTAGATCAACTTGATGAATTGAATTCTTGTTCCTTCACAAAAGTTGTTGCCAAAAAAAAAAAAGGGGCTGTCCAGAAAATCAAGTTTTGCCATATATGCATTTTGTATGAAGCTCCAAAAATTGAAGAAATGAGGGAAAGGAAAAAGCCAGACTTACATTCCTTGGCCTTTTATATGGCTTTGTTCAGATCTGCTTTGAATTGGATCTCAATTTTTCCTTCCTTTTAGGCCCTTTTGTGTTTGTGATAGCCCTCTTTTTACCTTCTCCTTCACAAACTTATGCTCCTATTTTCCAATGGGGAGAATCGCAAGTTAGACGGCAAATTGAATTTAGTTCTAAATATGAAATTTTAATTCATTTTATTTTTTAAATTTATAATTTTTTTTTGTATAACTCATAATACTCTCAAATTATTTTAAATTTGAGACTGATCTCTATTAGGCTAGGAGTATTAAAATGAAAACTCTCTTAACAAGTGTGCCTTCTAGAATTCAAATTTATAAAATTGTTATCAAACTATCTAAATTGATTATACATATTGAAAAAGTATTCATTAAATGATATCTCTAATACAAATGATTAAAAAAGATATTTTAAAGAAATCAACGTATATTTCTTACAACAAAACTAATTTAACTAATTTTTTTGAATTTCTTCAATAAGTCATCAAGATTGAAAGAGTTGATTGAAATGCAATATTTCTTTCCAAAATATTATATTTCAGAAAGAAATATTGCATTTCAATTTCAAAAAACCGAAACATCAAAGAATTTTAATTAAAAAAAGCCAATTCCAAAACAAAATTAATCTAACTCTTATATTTAAAATTAAAAGGAATGTTTGATTTTAATTTTTTTTTTAAAAAAGGGAGTCTTTTTATTTCTTGCATGTATTTTGTTTTACCACAAAAAAAGCAAGATCTTGTCCAACCAAGGCACAACCAAAAGGTTGACTTATTTTTGTGAGTACTGAGAGGTGTTTGGTGCAATTTAGAAACCCTTTTAAAAAATACTTTTACATAAATCAAGATAAATTTTTTTTCACATACTACCTCCGGTCCTAATTATAAGACCCAGTTGACTTATTTGAGGAGATTAATGAAGTAAGTTAAGTTAGTTATTTGTAATAAATAAGTGTTGTCATTCCTAAAATATCCTTGCTAATTAAGTGTATTGGCTAAAACTATCATTATTAGAGGGACTATTTTGGAAAAAAATATATAAATATGAGAGACAAAATGGATTGGGGTCTTATAATTAGGACCAAATAAAAAGTCAAACGGAGTCTTATATTAAGGACCAGAGGTAATATTTATTTTATATATCATAAAATTACTTTTAAAATTATGATTTGGTATCTAAACACCCCTAAATGAAAAACATATCAAAGATCATCACTTTAGGTTTGAGAGCTTCTTAAGATTAGCATTTCTCAGTACTCAACGTGTACATTGACATTCCTAATCTGAGTCGTGTATATATATATTTAAATTAAAAGGAGACTATTTTATGCTAAAAGATATTTAAATTATTTTATACTATATAAATAATATAATACGTATAATTTAGACAAATAAATATTATCGTCATTGACATTTTGTTGCATCAAACTGATAAAAACATCTTTTTTATTTAAGAAAATGCATATTAATAGTAATCATCACCGACACCGTGCTTCGATCTGTGCATGTGAAGCGCCCTTTTAGGAGAAGGGAGCTTTATATATATATTCTCACCTATAATGTACGTTAAGAAAGTTTAGGACCATACTTACATATATTTATTATATTAAGTTTTCTACTTATGCTGACTATACATATCTTCTATTTTTAAAATATTATCATTTTTATTAATAAACAAATTTATTTCATATAATCATCTGTAATTAAAAAAATTATTAGTTAGAGCAATTTAGTTAATCAGTTATGAAATTCTGTAATTAATGAAAAATACTAGGTAAAATAAATTAATGATTCAAACAAAATATCTTATGTTATGAAACATTCAAAAATCTTTATAAAAAGCACATGGGGAAGCAGTATATAATAAATTTTCAGTAGAAATGTAGTTTTTTATTTTTTTTTTTTTATTCTCTAGTTTTATACAAAATTTCAATTTGATTTTTTTAATTTCATAAAATATATTTTTAGTTGTTTAAGTCCAAAATTGTTAGCGAAAAATAATTATTAATTAGTTTTGAAACTTAATCTATCTGTCTTTTTCTTGGGTTACAAAATCTATCCAAACTCTTGTCAATATTTGAGGTTTCAATGTCAATAGTGTTTGTCAAGGCTGAAGAGGCAGTTTATAAAGTGAAGCATCCAAAATCAAACTTTATGTAACTTCTACCTTTCTTATCACAAATGAAGCTGTGCATGTGCCGTTTAATTCTCGACCCATGAGCTCTCCAGGCCATTGTCGTCCCCATTTCCCATTCAAAAAGCATTTAATCTTGAGGAATGAAATTATTTGTTTTGTATTTATCAGACCATGCTTCAGAATTTGCAGCAATAACCTTGTCTTTATTACAAGATTCCCAGCTGATAATCTCACTGCAGTGTCCCAAATGACCATTGTTTAGCTGTTTCCCGTCTTTTTGAAAGACTGAAAGCTCAGGAAATAGAAGAACAGAATATCACGGGACTGAAACTTGTTATGTCACTTTCTGTCTGCTGATACTGAATCTCAGATTGTTCATAGTTTTGTTTCTCACCGTTTCACAGAAAACCTCCCATAGCTCGCAAAACCCATCTTCTTCCGTCTGTGTCCAGAAGGGAATTTTATGGCCCAGAAGAACTTGAATATGGAACCCATATCTTCTGCATTGCCCTGTGCAAACCCAGAAGCTGAGGTAGAAGAAGAAAACTTGCGTTTTGCCAAGTCCCTTCAGGTTCGTATCTTACATGCATTGCTATAGAGTACGGGGTTCGATTTTATTCTGTTCATTTTTAAATGTTTTTTGCCTTTTTCTTTTGGTTCATGGTGGTTGCAGGAACTTCGAGGACTTCAGTCTCAGCTTCGTGATGCTGCATATTACTGTGAAACGACATTCTTAGAGAGCAAAGTGAAAAGAGAGTAAGTCATTTCGCACCCCTCCTCCATAGCCATATAACTTGCTGTTTTGAAGTTATCATGTGATGCATTCATTGTCTCCTTCATTTTATTGCCCTTTTTTCCGTTGATAAATGTACTTTCTTTCTTTATTTTAAAATCATATATTTCAACTGTTTGGTTCCAAATATTTCAGCTAGAGACGATTTCTCTGAATGCACAGGATGTAAGTGAAAATACTGTTGAAGAAAACAGCAATGATATAATGCAGGGGAAATGTTTAAAGAATTATAATGTGGAATGCAAAAACAATGAGTTTATTACTATTTCAAAATCGATTTATAGTAATTAAGTTTCGACTAGTATATTATATGTATATGTTCTCCAATCTTGGCCAATTTACACCTGAGTTTCACTCCTTAGTGTGTATATTAAAAAATATAGAGAAGGAACGAGACTTCATATTCTTAAGCAAGGCCTTGGGTTTATGTCTTATGGACGAAAAAAATTACGTTGGGAAAGTCACCCTTATGTGGATCAAGAATGGTCAAATTTAAATCAGTCAATACCAAATAACAGACAGTTGTTGGGTAGAAAAAGTAAATTTAGAGCCATGTAACTTCACATAATGCACAAGGGCGTGTTAAAATTAAACAATTAGCATCTTAAATTTTCTGCTGTTCTTTATGTTGTTCCATTTTCAAACTAAACCCAACTCTGAAAGCTCTAGGAAGGGCAGAAATGGAAGCTATTCTAGCAGCACAAAACATAAAGTTACTCATTTGTACACTTGAAGTGTTGTGACTTTGACTCTCACATTGAGCCTAACCAGAACATGCTGAGCGGTTGATATTCTTTCTTGATTCTTTTTTCTTGTTTTGGAAGCTTTGTTTGGCTTCTGGATGTTGTGACAGACTAGGATTTCTACATTTTGCAGAGTGCTGGAGAACACAAAAGAATACCTATGCGGGGCCATGGTAACTGTCGTTGATCATCTTGGGAATGTCTCAGCCAATCTTGATTCCCTTATTTCTCAAACAAGTGCATTTTCTGAGGCTGAATTACGCATCAGCTGCCTCAAACAAGTGAGTAGATATATAGTATGTTTATCAAATAGAGTTGGCCAGCATAATAAGCAAAGACGTAGCCTTTGCTGCAAAAACATTAAAATGAAGTGAGAAGAGTTATTAGTTGCTGAAGTTGGTGTCTTTTGACAGAGACTGCTTTCATGTGAAGAATATGCTAATAGCCTTGCCCTCTCCAAAATGCAGTGGAGTGACAATTTGCCAAGATTCCATTCACGTTACTTATCACCTTGTAAGTATTCCCTGATAGTCCTTTATACTTTTCAGAGGCAGTAAATTTTTCTATGCTGTTGTTATTTTCGTGCACTTATCTAATTCTTTTTTATTTTCCTTTTTCTACTTCCATTCTTTGATCAGCATCAACCTGTGAGGGGTCACGCGGTGAAAAATTGAGGTACTTCTTTCATTACTTAATGCCCTGAAGAATCCGATAGTTAAATGATGTTAGGCCATATGTTAAGAGGTTGCTATAATTCCTAGGCATTTCTCATTCTTTCTTCTCTTTTAAATCTTACTCAGGGATTCTGGAAGTGAAGTTCCTTCAAAAATTAAAGATATGCTTTTGCTTGAGGAGGAGGATTTGCCACTTTTTATGTACACACAGAAGCCAAATCCAAACTTTAAGTTAACCACTGCTACGGCTAAGGGGCACGCCAACTTGGCCTTAGGTAAGATATTGGTTTCATGCCAAACTTACCGCTATCAAACATGATGAGATCTTTCGAAAGTTTACTCAGAGTGTCATGTGTTTATTGAAAAAACTATTAGCGAAATCCTAAAAAATTTACTTTAAATTAGTCATAAGTTTCTTCTGCTTTCTGGATTTGACAATACTTGATCTGCAGATGTGGTACCTGTTCAGGATGTACTGTCGGTTTTCACAAAAATCCCAAATCAAACATTTCATTTCCAAGTGAGTTTGGCTCATGAAATCTACCTTATTTGAACTGGCTTTGCTCTGTGGCTCTTAATTTCTAATGTCCAATGACTTTACATGTAGGTGACCGAGAAGGCTGGACGCCATAGAAAATCATTGCGTAATAGTGACAAGTTATGGCTCATACGGCCAAGAAAGCACTCACAGTAATTGAACCGGAGAACCTGTTTCTTCATTTTCCAGTCCTCTGTGTTTTTTTATGGTGATATTTATCTTTGGTCACGTGCTTTTAGAGGTTTTTACCTCTGTAATTATGATAGGGAAGACCTTCCTGATACAGAGGGACTTGGATTTAGCATATCAGACTGTTAATATTCGTTGAACTTGAAGATTTTCTTAAGGAATAATCAGGTTCCAAATGCCTAGAAAACTATATAGATTTATTATTGAACAAAATGACAATAAAAGTATAAAGAATATACAAACAGCCAGCACTGACACAATCTATTGGATTCTAAGGAGCAGAGGAAAGAAGACTACTACACAAAAAATATGGGGCCGAGCCTGAATATTTACACCTGCACAGTGAATGTTTTCTTCCTGGTTTCCTTTTTTGCTGTGAGTTCCTCTCCTTTTCTCCTTCCTCTTCGGCATTGGATCTTCTCAATTTCACTCGTACATGGACAGCAAGAATGATGGATTCATTGGAAGTGTAATTCACCCCATAATGTGTGGGTTGGATATACCGAAATCATCTTTTTCAGAAAATTATGTTGTAAATTCAGAAGAGAAATTGAGAATATCCAATTTTTTCAATCCGGTCATTCATATCGATGGCGAGGTATGGGACTTTTGATGGCATACAAATGCTCAATTTTGTCCCAGTAGGATTTCTTGGGGTACTTGGGAGTTTTATTTGAACTCTTTTCCTCGTTTTCTTTATAGTTTTCTTCATCCAAGTCTCCAGAGTTATGCATATCATCCCTTCCATTAGAAGAAGGCCAATTCATGAAATCTGAGAGAGTCATGGAGGATGACGTATCTGATGAAGAATTAAACTTCTCTGCATCTTCCTCAGGGCTTCGGCCCATGTCATCATCCACTGAAAGCCTCCTGTTATGTCCTGCCATTGATGGATTTAGGGCCATGGAATCAGCATATAAAACATCCTCAATCCTTGATGACACTGTATAGGCCAAGCTTTCTATCACTCTTGAATAGCTTTCTAGAATGGACTGTCCTACATCCTGTGCGAATTTTTACAACAAGAAGTCCAATCAACAAAATGAAAAACCTTATTGGATGAGAAGGTGAAAAAACAACGATAAGTTGCAAGTAATGGTGTATTTTTACCTTATTGTACTGGATCTTGCTTATTTCAAGTGAGGATTGTGGAAGTCCTGGGAACTTCTGTTTAATTAACAACAATATGGTCTCTGCTCTATCCTCAAAGAGCTCCCTCTTCTCATGGCTGACAGCTGAACCCCAGGAAGATTTGCTGTCCTTGTTGGTCATCTTTCTTCTCCATATCACTATAGAAGCTTCAATTCTATTCTTGAGGTCAAGAACCCTGTGCTCAGAGGACAAGTCCATAGTTGAGAGGAACTGTCCAGCATCAAAGTAATCCTCTGTTATATATTTATAGATTGAATCACCAAGGCTTTCTCTACCGTTCTGCCAAATATACCAAGGCAAAAATTAATCCATATATTTCATGAAACAGACTGACTCCTTGTTAACTCTTGATAAATTTTCATCAAGATATGTATTTACTTTAGGAAGAGATTCAATGTAGTTTTCAGGAATCTCCATCTCAGATAGTACTTGAGCATTAATAGCCATGGCTGCTTTGAGTACTTGGGTGACAGAGTCCTTTTGGATATACAGCCATTTTCTTCCTGCATCTGATAATCCATCTGGGGGAACTTTAACAGTCGGTAGCCACCATTTGTCACTCTTTTTACCTTCAGGATCATCATCACACTTTTTAACATACCAGAATTCAGTCTGATCTTTGAAATTATCTAACGTGTCCTGTTCCATCGTAATCCAGTTTGTTAGTGGGAGTGTGAAATTGACAGACTTAGAAGTTACCTGTAAATTTTAGAGAGAGAGAGAGAGAGAGGAGAGAGTCTACAGAATCTATACACATTATAGGATCCACCACTGATAGAATTAATACTGATGCACGTTCCAAGATCATATACCAGACTAATTCAAATGGATTAGGAGGACAGAAAAAAGGTAAAATTTAGCTACTTACAATAAGCATTGCATCAAGCTTGCGTAAGGCAGGTATGTTCATGAGCAGATCAATTCGTTGCCGGGTAGTCATGATCTATAAAGTCAAATACTGAAATTATTATGTATGTCTGACCAAACTGAAACCGAAATATAACATTTTTTGGCTCGAAGAGATGAGAGAATGAAGGTCCAGATGATCACCTCCATGCACGTCCCATCCTTTCCTATCTGTTTTGAAGGAACAAACTCAACAATGTGATCAGTCACAGATAAAATCCAGTCAGCTTCTCTTCTCCACCTTGCTTTGTTTTCTGCAGACATTGGCCCCAGTTTCGATTGTTCTCCAAAAACAGATGCTGCATGTGCAATGTTTCACAGCCAAGCAAAATGTTGCACCAAATATTCAGTAAGGCTTCATTTATTTTTATAATGAAACACTTTGGAACCATTTTTCCTCTTGCAAGTACGCATACCAGCTAGATTCGTTATTGCATTGGACAAAGCCAAAGCAGAAGAAACTCCCTTTCCAGCACCTGACATATCTTCTCCCAGAAGCAGCTTAGCAAATCTTTCCTTTATCATCTCCACTTCTGTAAGTACAAACACGATAGAACATCACGTGAAGAAAAAACATTTACACTATTCTAAAAGTTTTGATTATCATCTTGTGTAACACCTAAACAATTTCAAGGAATAGAACTCCACAATGTCGAGTTGAGATGTTTAGATACGAACCAGTTTGTGGCTTGGAAGGTTTAGGGCCAACTGCTTCCCCATGAGTAGGTGAAGGTGAAACATTATGCCGTTGATGAATCGCAGATTCTACTTGACGATTTCCCAATGAGGATTCACTCTCATTGCCATTAGAGCTGTTTGGCATTTCATTATCAGATTCTGCTTCACCCCTATAATCCTCCTCCTCCTCCTCCTCGTCGCTATCGTGACGAGAACCATCAGAGATTAAATGGTGGATTCGTTTCCCAATCCGCCTGAAATGAAAAGACCTTGCCTTCTGCATTCTGGGTTTACGAGGAACAAGCAAGAATCATCATTCACAGAGCTGCATCTTTTTCCTGCAATGATTAAAACCTCGTTTGGACAAAGAATGTGATGTTAAGTAATGGGTACGTAGAAATAGAATGCCCAGTGTTTGAAATTTGAAGCAATGTCCGTGACTATAGCATGAAATTTTTCTTCCGGCTATTTCTCTGCCATTCATCTTTTGTGTTCTTGAGTGGTTGTTCTTTGATACACTCTAAAGAAGAGAAAATGCAAATAATGGAAATGATTTGAGTGATTAATGTGGGATGGAGTTAGATTGTTGGCGGAGATCCACAAGAGAAAGTGAACTATTATTAGAATAGATGACGTGAAGCTTAGGTAATTAGAATGTCATTCATCTTGTTTTCACTAAGCCCCGTTAAGATTTGATTTCACTATTTGGAAAATTCAAAGAAGAAAAACTCGTTAATATAATATACATACAAAGGAAGTTACATTACGGATAAATTTATAAATAAATATATTGCTCTTATCTTATTCATAAGTCACTTTCAAGATGTAAAAAAAAACTTTAAACTTTATTAACTCTCATTTAAAATTTAACAACTTTTCAACTTTATTCTTATTTAATATACATTATACCCCATAAAAATAAAACCAACACAATAATAAATAAATGATAAAATTATATGCTCATATAAAAAATTTCTCTTTACTCTATAAATAGGACCAAAAACCTTTTTTTTACTCTGCGTTATAAATAGAACTAGAAAAATATATATTTTGACTCACATATAACTGGAGACCTTGTAACCCCATGACATCAAACGTATCTCTTTAATCTTTCTCAAGCATGAATTGTCAATAGGAACCTCTCCCATAATAATTAATAGGTGCATAGGTAATAGGTTATGGTTATACTACCTTCGATTCTATTTATAAAATCTTGTTTATAATTGATAAACAATGTCTATAATCATTTAGTCATAGGAAAAAGAGATTTGGGGTTTTTATAGATTTAAATTTTTTTTTTTTACTTTCGTGATTTAGTTCCTATTATTAGGTTATCGTAATTATGTTATCATTCTTTAAGCATTACTTAATATCCTACTACTTTTGAAGTCGTAATCCTAAATCTTTGGCTAAAAAAAAATTCCTAAATCTAAGTCATTTTTTCAGTTCTAAGATTCAAAATACTACCTTCGGTCCTGTTTATAAGAGCTAGTTGACTAATTTGAAGAGATTAATGAAAAAAGTTAATTTAGTTATTTGTAATAAATAAGTATTGTTTTTTCTAAAATATTCTTACTAATCAAGTGTATTATCTAGAACTATTATTGTTAGAAGGACTATCTTAGAAAAAAAAATGTATAAATAAGAGAGATAAAGTAGATTGGGGTCTTATATTTAGGACCAAAATAAAATTCAAACAAAATCCTATATTAAGGACCATAAGTCGTCTCTAATCAATACTTTTATTTTAGACAAATATGAAATGCCAATCGTTATCACTAAATGCTTATTTTGGGAATAATAAGTAAAGAAAGAGAAACATTGATTAGTGTAGAGTATATAATTGCAATTTATACTACCTCTAGTTTTTAATATAGAATCTAATTTGTGGGGTACAATTTGCAGTATAAATTAGATTTTATATTAGCAACCAAGGATAATACTTGGCATTGAAGGTAGTATACTGAACACCGAAATTTGGGGGGGTTTTTTTTGTTTTAAAAAATTGGGCCGAAGTAGCCCACTTTCTTCCGCCCCCCCCCCCCCCAAAAAAAAACCAGAAGGTAGCCCGCTTTCTTAGTTATGGAAAGGAAAACCCCTCATCATAAAATACCCTCTCAAAGCTCAATTCAAACATAGTAGTACCTCCAATTCTTATTAGATAAGAACTATTTAATTATTAATTTGGATAGATAAAAAAATTAAAAAGCTTAATTAATTATGATAAATGTAATATGATTTTTCTAAAATATCCATGTGTGGTCATCATATCATATGTCAATTTGAAATTTAGATAACCATTAAGAAACAACTCATTAATGTTTTTGCTTGGGTATTTATGAGATCTTATATTTAACATTCTAACTAAACTAATTTTTAAAAAATGATAAATATAGAAGATAAAATAGATTAAAATTTTATATTTAAAACTACATCCAACTTTCCAACTAGCCGTTAGATTAAAGATAGGAAGGAATATATAATAAATTCTTATTTATTTTTAAAATATCCAACATTCTGGAAAATACCAAGAGCCGCAGCAATTTTCTTTATTTTGGGGGGATAAAAACTAATAGGACCATATGGGTCATGATTCATGCACGTTCACAGTAACTTTATAAATTATAACAACAGTAATATAGTGATGATTTTTTGTTGTGTTTTTTATTTAAAAATTTTATTACCCTTGTTCGGCTTGCTGCTACACGTGTCTTATTATATGGCCTCATCATCATTTCACAGGTTTTTTTTTTTTTTTAGTGAAATCATTTCACAGTTTTATTTCCTAGTCAGGTGATAGTCATTCGCTGGTTCACTACATTTGTTTGTACTATTATATGCTTGTGATTAATTACTGCCACCTCCAGTCTCATTTATAGCATATAAACAAAATATTGTAATTAGAACACGAAGTAGTGGGTGTGTGTATAGAAAATATGAAAGCTTAATTTAATTAATCTTACACTTCATATTTATTTGCTATTCAATTATTGTCAAAACTTATCTTAACATAATACTACATCCAGTTATAATTATAAAATCTCGTTTGCAAACTATAAATAATATTTTATAATTAAAACCAAAAATAGTAATGATTAATCACAAGTTTACAACTTTATTTAAGTATATAATAGTACAAACAAACATAATGGACCTGCGAATGATTATCATCTGACTAGGAAATAAAATGTGAAATGGTGAGGTTGTCAAATTAGACGGGAGAATGGATATGGAAGAGACTTGTGTATCTCCTCTCTTCGTATAATATTACCTCTAATTGTTAATATAAAAGTTAATTGACTAATTTAAGTATAATAAAAAAATTAGTTAAATTAATTAGGGGAAAATTGCAAATAAAGACCCTCCAATATATAAAATAGCTATTAGGGACCCTTGAATTTGGAAAATAGCTTCAAAGGACCCAGTCCCAAATTGCAAATATGAAATGATGGTAGAATGTCCAAAATGCCCTCTGTTTTTTCTCTTTCTTCCTCTCCAAATCATCTTCTTCCCGACCTTGCCTCCTTATTTTCCTCTCCCTCTTCGTTCTCTTCCTCTCCAAGTTTCCTTCCCTCTCCTCACTCTTTTCTCAAAGTATATGGAACTCACAATGTCTTTTGGTGGTCCTCTCCTCATTGTCATCCCCCGTCACTTTCTTCTAATCTTGCTTACCTGCTCTTTCGTCGACAATGAAGCCTCTTCCATCATTCTCTCTGTTGCTGTGGAAGGAGAGGAGAGTCGGGAGTTTGAGGGAGAGTGACAGTCATTTGCAATGCTTGTAATGTTTGCTTGCAATGTGTGCGGTGATTGCTTGGTGCTGAGACAACGCCCAATAAATCTGGATTTTTATTCTTCATTTCTATTTTGATTTTCAGCTTGTGTTCATAATTGAAAATAACGAGTTTGATAAGTTGTTGAAAATAACAAGTTGACAAGTTCTGATACCCACTTCACGACAAGTTCAGTAATGCGAATAACAAGTTCAGCAAGGCAAATAACAACTTCTGATAAGCAATTCATAGAAATTTGAGTTTCTGTGTTAAAATGACAGCATTTTCAGATTTCTTTAGCAGATGACAAGTTCTGATACACAATTCATGACAAGTTCAGTAAGGTGAATGACAAGTTTAGTAAGGCGAATGACAACTTCTGATAAGCAATTCATAGAAATTTGAGTTTCTGTGTTAAAATGACAGGTTTCCAGTAGGTTTTCATACTTTTTCTGTTAAAATGACTGGATTTCCACATTGATTTATCAAATGACAGGTTTACAATAGAAAATGACAAGTTTTCATAAGATTTTTATGCCTTTTTTTGCTGGAATTACAATTTGCACATTTCTGACAGCAACAACTTCTGATAAATACGAAATGACAAGTTCAGAATAAAAAATGACAAGTTAAGTATAGCAAATGACAAGTTCCCACAATGTTTTCATACATTTTCATACCTTTTCTGTTGGAATTATAATTTGCACATTTCTAACAGCACCCACTTTTGATAAACACGAAATGACAAGTTCATAATGGAAAATGACAAGTTAAGTATGGCAAGTAACAAATTCCCATAATGTTTTCATACATTTTCATACTTTTTCTGCTGGGATTACAATTTGCACATTGCTGATAGCAATCACTTTTGATAAACAGTAAATGACAAGTCCACAATAGCGAATGACAAATTAAGTATGTAAAATGACAAGTTCCCATAACGTTTCCATACAATTGTAAATTTCTCTGTTAAAATAACAATGTGCATATTTCTGACGGCAAGCACTTATGATAAATAGTAAATTACGAGTCCATAATAACGAATGACAAGTTAAGTGTGTAAAATGACAAGTTCCCATCACGTTTTCATACAAATGTAAATTTCTCTACTAAAATAATAATGTGCAGATTTCTGACAGCAACCACTTCTGATTAACATCTTTCATCATCAACTTCACCTCTCATTTCCTCCTAACGTATAAAACTATAGCACCAGAACTCTCATAAGCCCCTCAAGAAGCATGCTCATATCAACACCAGTGGCAAATGCACTACGATGATCATATCCACTCACAAGTGCATCCTCAACCATGAAATCCCAAATATAAATTGCCATATCATATGAACAAGAAACCATCAAATTCTACATATAAAGCGAGAACTTTATTCGTTTAGCACTGTATTTAGGGCTCGTTTGTTCCTCACATAGCACACCTTGATCGACTTTTCCACCGAAATACAATCATCATACTTGATTTCCACAATTTAGAGCTTGTTTGCAATTATCAGAAGT